ATTTATGATATTAATAATGATAATTAAAATAACAAATAAAATATAATTAACTATAATAATCTTCGTAATTCTTTTATTATGTCTGTCCATACTTTGAAGTTACTTTTTGTGTATGCTTTTGTTTTTTTGTTTTTATTTTTTCTTTAAAAAATATTGTTTGACAGATCGAAAAAATGCAGGTATTTTTTCATGATTTATAATAAAACAATATTTGAAATTAGAAAATATAACAAAAATTATTATTGACAAATAAATTGGGTTTATTATATGTATGCTTCTTTCTATAACAAATTTCGTTTGACTGATCTAAATTTTGCAAATTTTTCTCCTTTTTATTTATAAAAAATAGAAAATTGCTAATTGTTAAAAAATTATTATTTAGAAATAGAAAATAAAAATCCATTTTATGCATAATTTATATTTCTCAATAACAATATTGTTCAGAAACGCATTTTTTTTCTTTCGAAAGAGAAACATTACATATTCTATTCTATTTGTCAATTACAAATTTTAATTTGAAAATGAAATTGAAACTTTTTAAAGTTTTAGAAAATGAAGGAAAAAATGTTACTCAAAAAAATGTTCGGTTACATTTATATACAAATTTCTTTCATTGTAAAATTATTTGAAAACGTCAATAACATTTTTTTTTTAATAATTATTTAAACAATATTATTTCTCCATAAGAATTAAAAATTTCAAATTCAAATCATTTTAAATTCAATAACTTATAAGAATATTTTATAATAATTAAAGATGACCGAGTAATAAAATCATTGTTTTATAATATAAGAATATTATTACAGTAACTTTTTCAAAATTATTTCCATCGTTTCAAATCAATTATTATTTTTTACAATTTTTTAATTATTTTCTATCAAAATAATTGAATTCATTGAAAAAAATTTATTATTTATAAAAACAATTGAAAATTATTGCAAAGGAATTTATAAAAAATTTGTAAATAATTAAAATCCTCAGAAATTTTTGTTATTTATGAAAATAATTCAATGATTGCGTTCTATTTTTGGAAATTTGAAAATTATTTGAAAATAATTGAATTTTGGGGAAGAATTTTGTTATTTATAAAGATAATTGGGATTTTAATGAAATTTTTTTTGAAATTTGAAAGATAATTGAATTTTATGAAAAGAATTTTATGACTCTTGAAAATAATTGAATTTCTCCAATTATTTATAATTTTTCCAAATTTGGATTATTTTAATGTTTTCAACAAAAATAATTTTATACAAGAATTTTTTTATTTAAAATAATAATTGAGATTTTGTTGAGATTTTTTTGTAAATTTTGAACATAATTGAATTTTAATAAATAATATTTGTTTGATTCAAGGAAGAAATAATTAAATGAAACAATAAATTTTTTGAAAATTTATTGTTTCATTTAATTATTTCTTCCTTGAATCGAACAAATATTATTTATTAACAATATACGGAAGGATAAAAAATTATTTAAAATATAATTGAATTTTGTGATAAGAATTTTATTAATTTTGAAAATAATTGAATTTCTGCAATTATTTGAAAACTTCTTCAAAATTCAATTTTTTTAATGTTTTTAACTAAAATTCTTCCATAAATCCATTATTTTGAATAATTAATTAAATAAATATCGACAAATTTAACTAATTTTAGAAGATTTTGAATTATTAAAATTTTTCAAAAATCTAAGTTCATTAAAATTTCTAAGATAAAATTCAATCAACATTAAAATTATATAAAACTTTAAATTGAAACCATTTGAAATTCATTTATTTATGGAAATTGTGAAGGCAACTTTTTTAAAATTGAATTAATTTTGAAATATTTAAGTAAAATTATTCATTAAAATTCATTTATTTTATGATAGTTGCTCAAGATTTAAGTTATTTAAAAAGAAATTCTTGTCAGAAATTAAAAAAATTGAAGGTTTTGTATTAGAAGTCGTGGTAATTTTATAGTTTATAAGTCAAACAAAAAAAAAAAAAATTCAGGATTTTCTCATGAATTCTAAAAATTTAATTTTTTTCAGTACTTTTAATAAAAAATCCTGACTTTTCCCGAAATTCCCCATGTCAGAATATATGATTATTATAATTATATAATAATATTAAAATTATATATTTCAATTCATATTTTATTTTTAGAAAAAAGAATTTTAATAATAGATGTAAATGTTTTTTGGATTACTCAATTATAGTATATGATGTTTTTGTTTTTTGTTTTAAATATAATCCACTTATTTATTTCTCTTTTTTAAAAATACATTAGCTTTCTCCCGACAACGTTGGGCCTCTTCAGATGAGAATTCTAGAAAATACATATGAATTCATATAGAAATATATAAAGAATTAATTTTTCAAATAAAAAATATAATAGAAAAATTATTCTATTTAATGAAGAATGAATAATTAGATTTATGAAAAAAATCATAACATAACCTCAAAACTTACCGAAGTGGATTAATTCCTCTTCAATTTAAAAAAATATATAATTTACAAAAAACTTTATTTTTTTCCAAAAGTGCATTCTCTAGCGCGAAAATCAAATGTATAATAAAGAAATGTATAAAAAGAATTTTAATTAAAAATTTTTCCATTATATTATTTTTAAAATTGCTAATTTTAATTAAAAAAAGTGAGTAAAAAGTTAACCGCGCGAGTAAGTGCACGAATTGTTGCTAGTTAATATTAATTAATAATGTAAATTATATAATTTATTAAAATATACTACTGATTAAAATAAATAATTTTTATTTGAATCAGTATTTGAATTAAAAAATGAATTAATATTTTGAATAGAGTTTATTAGCATTAAATATTAATTAATGTTTGATAATGATACAAAAGAATTTACAGAAAAATTTTCTTTTACAAAAATAATGAATTACTTGTCTATATAAATATTTATTTTCAAAAAATAATTTTTATTAAAATCAGTATATTTCTTTCAAGTACAGAAATTATTGTTTCCATGAGAGTCAATATGATTTAAATTAATTTATTTTCTACAGGCAAATATTCGTCTGATAATAGTCAATTTGTAAAATAATTATTAATGTTTTCATCTTTAATATTTTTTTCTGTACATGATGAAATAGAATATAATTTAAAATTTATAGAAATCTCACAAATTTATAATTCATATATATAATTATATATTAAAAAATTTCCATTATTAACTGCATATATATGAAAACATCAATGCTCTTCAATAAATTATTAAAATAATTATCAATTAACAGAAACAAATTAACAACGAATTAATATAATGTATGAGAAGAGATTTTCATCGTGTGTATACTTGAACATATCAAATTTTCTATTAATGAATGTTATACATATGTATATATATATTTAGTGAGATAGATTTCAAAATATGAATTTAACATTTCGTATGAACTCATTTTGTAATGGATTTACGTAATCATTAGCCGTATTAATGATAATCACATGATTTAGCAATATCGTTGAATCAGTTTTCATGGCTCGATGAAACGAACAATTTACATTGGGCAAATATTAGCATTCCCGGAAATCAATGGAATACAAATAATATTGCTTAAAGGGTTAGTTATATTACATATATATACATTCACGTCCATGTAAATAGCCTATTATATAATTTTCTCAATTAATTAATGATAAATTATTTTACTACAATACTTACATTTTTTGGATATTAATCCATTTAGGACCAAAAGTCAAATTTTTCAATTTAAATCAAATTGCAACTTTCCTTCTTTAAATCTAAATTTTCTTGCAAATTCGGTATAAGTTAAAAAAAATTCTATATAAGAAACATTCAGTGACAACTTTTTTTCAAAAAAGCAATCTCATAAAACGAGAAACTTAAATTTGAACCTTAAAAATAGAACATTTGGGAACTAAATTGATTAACCGCTGGAAAGGAAGAAAGAAATTTTTTTCTCTTATTTTTAATTAAATGAGAATACGAATGTAATAGTGTTATTTCAAATATAAGGACTAAGAGAGTATATGAAGCGTGAATATTATAAGCGGATCAAAAGACTTTACGTAGATTTCTACAATTGTGAAAACGAGAGAGAGAGAGAGAGAGAGAGAGCTTTTGAATTTGAATAATTTTAACCAAGAGAGAGAAATGGAAAATTAATAATTTTATTCAAATTCAAATATTAACCGTTTCTCTGTCAAATCGTTATGTTAAGTAGCTTTTAATTAAATTCTATATTAACATTTATATTGTATATTAACATTAAATTTGTAATTAAAAATTTAATAAAGAGTATTTAATTTGTGAATTAATTAAAAATATTTCGTTGTGTTAAAGTAAAAATATAAATGTGTATAATGTATATTGATTTTATCTTTTAAATTCACTTCCAAACGAGTTCAAAACTATTTCAGTCCCTACGGTTTTAGTTATATATTGACATAGTTTTTGGCATTCTTTTTTTTACACATTTCCTGCATACTTCTATAATATCTGTCCGTATGAACTCATATAAAAAATAATTATTTATTGGATTTTCTGTGTCTCTTGTTATAAATTTTTATTTTTGTTTCGTGAAACGTAATAAAAAATTAATATTTGATGCACTAAATTAGCAACATTAATACCTTATTAAACCAGTTTCTCGTAATATTTTTATTGAAATTTTTTTAAATACAGTTTTTCAATACAAGAGTATTTTTTTTCGTATTTTAAATTTTTAATAAAATGAATAATTTTTTAGATATTAATTTTTATACATGTAAATTTATAATTTATAGCAAGAGGAAATGAATTGCAACTGAATATTTTATTTATGTAATAAAAATTTAATTTTAAAGAAATTAAATGAAATAAATAAAAAGAAAAAAGTAAAGAATACAAAGAAAATAAAGTATGGAATGTTAAATATTAAGAAACAGTTGACACAATAACAAAAAATTGTTACGAGAAAAAAATTTAAATATAGAATTGAAAAATGAAATTAAATAGTAATAAGTGACGTTTTGTTTTATTTTCTCTTTGCAGATTTTGGAATTACTAGTGGAAGGCAAGAATCCAATTATCCCTGTGCGTTTGTTTTTAGCAGTAATGACACAAAAAATGGAACCTTCGCGTCACCAAATTACCCCGGATTTTATCCGAGAAATACAGAGTGCCATTATTTTTTTAATGGACAACCGAATGAGAGAGTTCACCTCCATTTTCACTTCTTCGACGTTGAAGGAGTTTTACCGTGAGTGACCTAGATTTCATTATTATAATTTTTTTTTCAAAAACCCACCACAATTTTTTTTTTTTTTTTTTTATTTTTCATAACACATATTTTCTTTCTCATAATAAATACACAAAATTTTTTATTCTCAGTTTTTTCAGATTACATTTAGTTTTTTTCCTTTTTGCTTTAATATCATCCCCTTTTTATACAGAATAAATTTTGTAAAATTCGAAAACAAAAAATTTCATAGCTTGATAATTGTATTTGATAATTTTCTTTAATTACATTCACACCCTTATATTTAATATAGAAAAAGCAAAAAATAAATTAAAGCTTAATTAAATTAAAGAGTAAACTAAAGTTTAATCTTTTTTTCTTCTTTCTAATTTCCTCTTCTTTGATATTATTGGAAAAAAGTAATTAGGTTAAAAAAAATTACAAAGTAAAGTGAAAAGATGAAATTGAATTTAAAAGAATGAAAAAAAAAATGTTGGCAATAAATCAATTATGATTAATAATTTAGAAGTGGAGGAGATGAATTAGGAGAGCAATGAATTTAAAAGAACTCGTTTATCTTGGACAACATTTTTTATGTTTACTTATTTAATTAAGAAAATGAGGTAGAGAGAGAAAAAAAAAGGTCGAAGAACGAGGAGAATTTCAACTTCCAATGACAAATTTATAATTCAGACTCAATTTCAGAACACGGCTAGTGAGTGTGTTCAGTTTCCTTATGCAAAAAAGAGTTGACCCCCGAAGCACTTTAGACTCTCTGCTAATTAAACTTTAACACACTGACATTGATAATTCTATCGAGAATTAACCAAAACTTTCTTAATTGCTTTTCAAACGAGATTCTAAATAACGCAAAAAAATCATACAAAGAAATAATTTTGTTGCAATTTATTTGAAATTAATATTAACTTTTCATCAATATAAGTTTATAGAATTAGTTCAAGAAATATATCTATTCTAATAAAATTGATTTTCAAAATAATGTTTGCCGTAAAATATTCCATTGGAATATTTACCAAAGAAAAAATAAGTTTTTCAAACTGTTTTCAACTTTACGATTTCTTTTTAAAATTTTAATCTTCAATCTTTTCTTCAAGAATTAGTAACTTGACCCAGGAGCAGTAAATGAAAAAAGTTGTTCGTTTAACTTTTTCCTCGGTCATATATATGTATATTAAATGTAAAAATAAAAGAAATTATCCATTTGATGAGGATAAAATGGAAATTTTAAGTATATGAAGTTGAGATTATAAAAGTGTGGAAAAAGAGAGGAAAAGACTAATAAAAAAAGGGCAAATATTTATATTGACTCAATACTTATACTTTTTTAATAACAATTCCCGAAACTGACTTGTACTACTGGCGGACTAAAGTTGACTTCTACTACTGAAAATAAAATTACAGTAAAGTTAAACAAATTAAATTTTTTTTCCATGGACAAAAAAAGAATACGTGCTACGTCTGACCAAAATTGACTTGTACTACTGATGGTCTGTTCTTTATTTCTACCACTGAAAAAAAATTATGAAAGTTAAGACAAAAACTAAATTTTATTTAATAGACTAAAAAAGAATACGTGTTGTGTCTGACCAAAATTGACTTGTACTACTGACACTGCTGAATCTTTAAAATAAGTATAAAAACAAACTAAATTTTATTACTAGTTAGAAATAACAGAATTTTTAATGAAATTGAAGAAGAAACATTTCGTCTGACCAAAATTGACTTGTACTACTGAAGGTCTAAAGCTTATTTCTACTATTGAAAATAATATTCTAAAAGAACTGAAGAATTATAAAAACAAACTAAATTTTACTTACTATTTAAAAAGAACAGAATTTTTAATGAAATAGATAAAGAATCGTTTCGTCTGACCAAAATTGACTTGTACTACTGAAGATCTGAAACTTACTTTTACTGCGGACAATAAAATTATTTAAAAAAGTCAAGATAAACTAAATTGTTTTTAATGGACATAGAAAAAATGTGTATTGTGTCTGACCAAAATTGACTTGTACTACTGAAGGTCTAAAGCTTATTTCTACTATTGAAAATAATATTCTAAAAGAACTGAAGAATTATAAAAACAAACTAAATTTTACTTACTGTTTAAAAATAACAGAATTTTTAATGAAATAGATAAAGAATCGTTTCGTCTGACCAAAATTGACTTGTACTACTGAAGATCTGAAACTTCTACTGCGGACAATAAAATTATTAAAAAAGGCAAGATAAACTAAATTGTTTTTAATGGACATAGAAAAAATGTGTATTGTGTCTGACCAAAATTGACTTGTACTACTGAAGGTCTGAAGTTTACTTCTACTACTGAAAATAAAGTTATTTAAAAAAGTTAAGATCCTACATTTTTTTAATAGATAAAAAAGAATGCATGTTGCGTCTGACCAAAATTGACTTGTACTACTAAAGGTTTGAAGTTTATTTCTACTACTGAAAATAAAATTTTTAATATTTGAAACAAACCAAATTTTTTAATAGATTAAAAAAAGGAAAATATGATCTGTCTGATCAAAATTGACATGTACTACTAATTGACTAAAATTCACTTTCACAAAACAGTAGGTATATTATAAAAGGAGTAAAAACAAATTTTCATATTAGCCAAAAATAACAAAATTTCTATTTTTTCTAATAATGTACTTATTATACTAACTTGAAATTTATTTTCAAAAAGCTGATAGGATTAAAATTTTAAATTTATGTATTAAAAGCACGTTTTAATGTTTTCTTTAAAACCATTAATAGATTTAAAGTCACATTGAGAATTCGTGTTACCATTCTCTGATCGTTACTAAAACCAAATGGATGTGAAGATGTGCCCCCTATAAACCGAGTAAATAGTACCATTGGAATGTTCGAGACGCAGAATTGTTGCTAGTGATTCGGGAATTCTGTGATTACTGGCGAAGGTGTGCCAAGTGTTCAAACGTGTGCTTACGTATATATAGCCTATATGTACATACCTACTACCTTTTGATGGTATTATACGCACCGAATTCAATCCAAGATTGAATTACACTTATCGAACTATCACACCATATCAGGGATCTTGATTTATCGTCTCTATTCACACGACAAAAAAAAATAGAAAATTTTCCTTTTTGTGAAATTAATAGAAACTTTTTTTTTTAAAAGATGGACAGAAATTTTTTAAAAGTGGTCTAACTAAAATTGACTTTTACTACTAATACAAAAATTAGAGAAAATATAAATGATAGTTATTAAAAAAATACTTCTTTCATTGTTAATAATCAGTGTGAGTACTTAAGGATAAAGTGTCTGACCAAAAGTGACTTGTACTACTGATTCCCAAAAAATAATTTCTACTACTGAAAACAAATTATTTATTTATTTATTTAGTAAATGTATACGGGCTTACAAAAAAATGCCCTTTTAAATAATAAACTGGTTTTTTAAAAAATTAGTTTTTTTATGAAACAATAACAAGAAATTTTAATTAAGGAAGATTTCGACTATATCAGCAATTAGTGACATCTATTAGACGTCAATTGAACTCTTTGGTTTAGAGTCAGGTGTTATTCTTAAGATAATTATTCCGATATGGTTGTCGGTAAATAATTATATTTTTGAATTTAATTTTTGATCTGAAAAAATAAGCTGCGTGAACGACTGCACTGTGCATCTGTGAGGACTCGAACCCCAGTTAATAGCTGCCTTTCGCGGGACTAACGCCTACCAATGCACCATGCCAACACAGCCTGGACGTTCACGTTTCTTATAATCTCAGATCAAGCCCATACACTAGTCGAAGAGCTGTATAGTTAATGTAGGAAATTATTTGCTGATTGAGAATTTTTAATTAAGGAAGATTTCGACTATATCAGCAATTAGTGACATCTATTAGACGTCAATTGAACTCTTTGGTTTAGAGTCAGGTGTTATTCTTAAGATAATTATTCCGATATGGTTGTCGGTAAATAATTATATTTTTGAATTTAATTATTTACCGACAACCATATCGGAATAATTATCTTAAGAATAACACCTGACTCTAAACCAAAGAGTTCAATTGACGTCTAATAGATGTCACTAATTGCTGATATAGTCGAAATCTTCCTTAATTAAAAATTCTCAATCAGCAAATAATTTCCTACATTAAATAACAAGAAATCTCATTTTGACTAACTGAATGTGACTTTTACTACTGATTGACAAATACTAACTAATAATGTCGACTGTAAAACATATTTACAAAAAAAAAAAACAAACAAATAATTATTGTCAGAACAAAAAGAAACTATTCTCTTCATAATATAAGAAAGAATTTTCCCTTTTTAATACAAAAAAGAACTATTTTATTATTTATAACAAAAAAATTAATTTTCAAAACATTTCATTGATATTATTTTTACAGAATACATAAAAATTTTCTCTATACAATATTGAACTTTTAAAGAAGAAAAAGAAAACTATAACAAGCAGAATTATTACAGAAAATTCATCTTGATTTATTAAAAAAAGAAATAGGAAAAAAAAGAATTTTTATATCTCTTTGTATCTATATATATATATATATATATAGAAAGAGAGAAAAATTGAATTAAAAAAGTTTTCAATTTTCAGATGCGACTCTGTCACTGCGAGTGACTATGTCGAGTTTTCCAATTATATAACGAAGGACCGGAAGTACTCACGGCATTGTGGTCAACTGAAGGAGTTCGACATCGAGAGCGACCGGAAGTTCTTTCGAGTTACGTTCAAAAGTAATGACAGGCTGGATGGTACAGGGTTTAACGCTAGTTACGTATTCTTCGACGAAGGAGAAAATTATACGATGAAAACGCCAGTAAACGTCGCATCAACGTGGAATGGTGAGTAATAACAATATAATAATGAGAAACTAAAACAATTTTCATTATTTATTTTATTCTATTATTTCTGACTATATCAAAACGATAACTAAATTATTATTTTAATTAAAACACTACTACTACTACTACTATTTTTATTCTTATTCTAATTCTTATTCCTATTAGGTATTATTATTATTATTATTATTATTATTATTATTTTTTTTTTTTTTTTGTAGTCGGAAGTGGAAAATCTGTGAATTCAGATACCTGGGTAATGAATTCCAGGTTATGTGGGGATGACCGCTCTTGTTCTGGTCGACCCACTAAAAACCACTCCCGTCTTAATTTGGACTATTCTTCAACCCACGGAACTACCTATTGGCTTTTAACTTCGTGAAGTGAAGGTCCCATTATGTCGCTTACGCGACTCTTCCGTGCCGCTCTTGTTCTGGCCTTATTTCCTCCTTGTCCTTGACAGAGTCTTCTTTGCCTCCTCGAGGGCAGTTCTGAAGACTCTGCATCTCCCTGATCCAGCGACATGTTGGATGTTTTCCTTTTCGCTGAATTTCGCCTTGCATAAGAAGCAGCATGGGCTCTTCTTACAATCTGCTGCCTTATGGCCGGCTTCTCCGCACTTGAAGCACGCAGCCGACCTATCTACCGCTTGGCAATCTCTGCCTATATGGCCATAGTCAAGGCACCTGTGACACCTTGTGACCATAACTCTCCTACTAATTTTGCAGGACACAAAACCGATTTTAATGTGCCCTATCTTCTCCAGCTTGTTAGCGTCCTCTTGGGAGGTGACCACGACAGCGAGCTTAATACCTCGCTTATTTGGTCCGAGGACCGTCACCTTCCTGCTTCCTGCTGGCACCGTAGATAGTTTGTCCAGGGCTTCTTTGACATCCTCCTGTTCGGTAAGGGTGTCCATGTCGCGGATCTCCAGCACAGTCTGCCGATCCGCCATCTGCACCTTACCTAGATCGCCGATCACCTTTGTCACCTCTTCGGTGAACAACTTCTTGTTCGAAGACCCCCCAATTTTAATGAGGAGGTCTCCCTTTTTAGTGGGTACAGCTCCCACAACCCTTGTCTGGCTGGCCTCCAAGTCAGCCTCTTTTCGAACCTTCGCTAGCACTTCGGCAAAGGTAGATCCTTCAGCCACTTTGACGACCATTGTGGCTCTTCCCTTCTTATCTGAATTTGGCTTTGGTGCCGTTTTCATCTCCTTGCCTTTGGACCTTTTAGAAGGTCCCTCCTCCCTTTTCCTTTTTGGATCCTTCGCAAGCTCAGGATCACTTCTCTTTCGTTTCTGAGCATCCAAGACAACGTTTCTCAACATGATCGCGTTACAACGATCTCGTCTAACTCTACGATCCTGTCTGGCCTCTTCCGACCAAGTCAATCCCTGGTAGAGATTCTCATCCTTTTTCGTAGCTGCTGCGTGCTTCTCCTTGATCTCCTGTATGAGCGATTTCATGCCTTTGAGTCCATCCTTGATTGTCATATTGACATTTTTTTGGACCTCGCAGGACTTCATCATCTTGTTAACCGCTTCCTCCATTGCTAGAATGCATGTTGCCTCTTCCTCTCGCAGCTTAATACATTCATCTCGATCTTGGTTGCAGCTTGCAATGTCCTTTGCCGAAGCATTACTGAAGACAGAAATGCCACTGACCTGGCTTGTCACGCTGCTTGTACTTCCTCTTCTTTCTACCCTATCCACGATGATCTGTGGAACTCCCAACGCGTTGTTGCCCTCCTGCATCCATGGGCCACTGGCCACCGCCCTCACGCTCGAAAGCGCTTGACGATCGGAACCAGTGAGGGATTTAGCCAAAGCATTACCCCGCAGGTACTCCTCGGTTTTACAATCGCTCATACTTAATGTTTGTCCCGTATCGAGGGAACGATCGAGCCTAAACAGGGTACTACCATCTGGCCAAGATGGGCCCTGAACCGCCTCCGTTAGTTACATAGACGTTATAGCATTGCCGGAGCATTGATGCGACGTCTATGATATCCAAGGGCACGTGAACATTTATGTTCGGACGTGGAGGTCGATGTGTCTCTCCAAGATAGCAGGAAGTTTCCGCAAAGGGAGTGCATCCTGGTATCTCTTCACAGAGTTTACCCTCATTATTATTATTATTATTATTATTATTATTATTATTATTATTATTATTATTATTATTATTATTATTATTATTATTATAAATAATATTTATTAGCAGAATTGTTATAAATACGTGGCATTTTATACTTTACTTTTTCTTAAGTGGAAAATGAATTAAAATTAAAAGTTATAAATTAATAAATAATATATATACTTAATTGAAAATAACTAGAAATTGAGGAAATATGAAAATATAATTTAATAGAAAATGAGAATAATTATTATATTTTCAAGATAAATTGATATTCGATGTCAGAAATGAGGAATATTATGTAAATAGAATAAAATGAATACGATGTTAAAGCAAATTTCATCTATCATTGTCAATTGATAGTAATTATCACTTTATAAATAATTATTTCTGCACCAAGGAGTTTGTCAAATAATAAGTCATCTCGTTAATATAATTTAATTTACATCATTAAATAATAATTACCTGTTACTGCTAAAATTCACATGTTTTAATAATCGACCAAATTAATGACAACAATTACAATAATAATTAACTAAGCAATTAAAAATTAGTATTTCCTTATTAAAGAGAATTTAAAACAATTTTTATATAAAGCAAAATAGAAATAAACGGAAGTAAAGAAATATTCCAATTTTCAATTCAAAAGATCATTCATGAATTACTGATTTTGATAAATTAATTATTAATATATATTAGTTGATGTTAAATTAATTATTATATTAATTAAAATTTAATTAATTAATATACTTTTATAATAGAAAATTATCTACTGTCTTCAAAAATTTAATATTCTATAGATAATAATAAAAAAAATTTTTTAAATGAATTTTCTGTAAACAAATTACGAAAATACAAAAATTGTAATTTATTGTCTGTCTTAACTTTACTTTTACTACTGGAAACAAAGTTACAGGATTTTAATTTCAATTTCAAAATATAATAAACTATAGTCAATTTTAATGTGTTGACCGACTAAAATTAACTTGAATGTTAATTCATTGTCGAACTAAAATTGATTTATACAACTAAAACTGAAATTTAAATATTCTGGACTGTTATTTAAAAATTTACTCATCTTATTTGTAATAAAAATTCAATGAATTTTTTTAATTCTTGCCTGACTCAGACTAATCTGCACTACTGGTTCTGAAATTATGAGAAATTCAACTGGTAATTTTATTTAAAAAATTTCTTTCTGTTAATAAACAGTAGAACTATTTTAAATGTCCGTCTGACTAAAACTAACTTGTACTACTAAAACTAAAGTTAGAATCACAGTGACTATTTTTTATTAAAAAAAAAATTTATTTTTTTAAATTTACGTACTTTATCGGTATATAGTGGAAATTAAAAGAATTAAAAAATTTTGTCGCACGCAGACTGACCTTCACTACTGATACTCAAATTACAAAAATTCTAACCTGTTATTCCCGTGTAGAAATTGCCATGTTATGGCCTACACAATGATCATAAGATCTGCCCCCGATTTAGGCCATGGTTAAATTTCTACACGGGTTATATTAAAAAATTTACTTTCTCTACTTTCAATGTACATTTGAACTATTTTAACTTGTCTGACTAAAATTAAAGGATTAAAATTAAATTCTTACTTAAAATTGACCCGTTCTACTGAAATTGGAGTGAGAAATATTTTAACTGTTAATTAAATTAATTAAAAACTATTAATAATACAACTGACTAATACAAACAAATATAATAATAATTAAGTAAGCAATTAAGGAAATAAGAAATTGTAAAATACATTTCATTATTAGAAAATAAAAACAGTAGGTGAATTTTTAATTTTTTAATATAAAAAATAATTCTTAAATTAATCTATTTATTAACTTAATTAATACTGATTTAATTACAGAATTTATTTTATTATGGAAATTCTTACAGTGAAAGATATTTTGAAAATATATTCTCTATTAATAAAAGATATATCCCGATTTCATATTCTCACGTCAAAATATAGAAGTCAAAGATTATACTCTTAAATTTAAAATATCCTATATATTCGGCATAAATATTTGAACATTGATATACTATTTTTCGAAAACGAACCAATAAAATATTTAAGAAAGAAGTTTTCCTCCATAAAATTGTACAATTCAGTGTAAGTTAGTGTGTATGTGTGTGTGTGTGTAAGCGAACCCATACATTTTCACTTTGTAAGAATTGAATCTCGAAGGATTTCTTGGGGGGGGCCAGGGATGGGGAGGAGAAGGGGAAAAATCCATCCGCCTTCTTGCTGAGCAAAAGTAGAAAAATCAGTGTGACGGATGAGTTTAATAAAGTCCGACCTATTGATCGTGGTCATAAATGAAATCCAATGTACGAATCAAAACTTATCATTCAACCATCTCTTTCTAAGGTACGATATATATATTGTACATTCGATAATATATATAAGGGTAGAGGGGGGAGGGGTTGGAAAAAAAAATGATAAAGAGGATAAAATGGCGGAAAGTAGAAAAGAGGCATCTATATAATAAAAACGAAGAAAACTATATTCCAAGCTTCTGGCTCACGTCTTTCAAAGATATTGAAAGAGTAAATCGACAGACCATTGCTACTGTACCCCTTCTTCTTCTTCTTCTTCTTCTTCTTCTACTGCTACTACTACTACTTTTTCTTTACTCCCTTTTTTTCCTTATCTCATCTCGGGACTTTTACCATTTATTACTCAGATTTCATTCCCAATATTAAATGATTAAATCAACCACCAGCTAAAAATTTTATCACCTAAAGTCAATCATACGAACGTGGGGAATGGTGAATGAAAATCGAATCAAGGGAGAAGTAGAATTTTCAATTTTTTTCTTCTTTTGAAAAAATGTACCTTATCAGGGGAAAATAAAA